AACTTAAATTGATTTTGAATGTGTAATGTTGTTTGTGATGATTGGCAAAGTAACTTACGGCGCGAGAGACCACAAAACCGAATATAAATAAAACGAATATATTAATTGTACTAACACTGATACTAATGGCATTTTAGGTGCAGCATAATCAGGTATTCTGGAGCAACACTGAAAATAAGATCCTCCATAGTGGCAACACTGCAATGCCCGGAACTATTAACGTAAACTTAACAAAAATTAGCGACCCCATTTTTCATAAAATAGGACACCTGAGCTAGGGGTGACACCAATAGCTTAGCGATGGGATGGAGATAGTGCTGAATGCGGTAAAGATGAAAATAGCCAGTGGAAAAATAGTAAGTGACCTGGAGTGGTCAACAGCGAGGGTATATAAAGCGGGCAGCGGCAGCCGATCGCGCAGCCTTGAACTTGAACAGAGAGCGAGATGAAGGTCTTGGTGAGTGTGACGCCGTGGTTATGATTTCGTGTTATGTATTACCGTTGTGATTTCCTCCCCCCCCATGTGTTATGTACTGAAGATGTTGTTGTTAAGGTGCAGTTTATTTATATATCCGATCACTTACCTCCATTCCGAATTAGAAATAGGTGATAAATGCGACTGATATAAGCCGGCGGAGTTAGTCGAAGGTGAAGGATTTTATGGCTCGCTATTTACCTTTTTTTTAACTATTTTTTATTAGTATTAGAAGTGACCGCCATTGTAGGTTTCGGTCCAGTGAGCGTTTATATATTTCTCATTTCATTTCATACATAATTAAATGTGTATGTATGCACATACATGCATATATGTACAGTAAACACACACACACACACACACACACACACACACACACACACACACACACACACACACACACACACACACACACACACACACACACACATATATATACTATACGTACACGTGTGCGTATATATGTATATATATATATATATATATATATATATATATATATATATATATATATATATATATATATATATATTTATATACACATACATATATACATACTTATAGGTAGAAAGATGCGTGTGTACATGCATTCATATATACATGCATGACAACAGAGCACGCGCTCATACAATACAGTGCATCCATTATGGGCATAACGGTACATAGCTTACCTGGGGGATTTCCGAAGCCCCCGTGAGGCTTAAGGGAGTCTCCGCCACAACAGGTTTTCAAATCACTTATTCATAGTTTTTTCGATTTTTTTCTGTGATTCGGATTTTTTTGTGTTAGTTTTTTGGGTTTGAAGCGCATTTTTAGCTTTTTTTGTTTGTTTGTTTTGTGTTTAGATTTATTTTTGCATTTTTTTTTGTTCTTTCCTTCTTTTTTAGATCCTCTTTTTCTTTGTCTTTTTTCTCTTATTTTACGATCGCTCCTCCGTCTGTTCTTATTCCTTACCTTCTTTTTCTCCTTCCTCCTTCTCTTTTCTCCTCCTCTTCTCTGCCTCTTCTTCTTCGTCTTCTCCCTATGTCCTTTCTTTATCCACCGCCGCCTCTATTACCCCTCTTGCGTCTCCTCCTTTCTTTACCTTTTTCTTTCTTCTCTTCTCCTATGCCTTCTCCTTCTCCATCTCTCCTTTCTATTGCTACGTCTCCCCATTCTCCTTTTCCTCTGTCTCTTCTTTTAACTTCTCTCACTCCCCTACTTCTATGTTCGTGTATATTACTTCTCTTGTTCCTCTTCTCTCCTGTCTTCGCTTTCTCCTTCCTCCACGCTCTGAACCTTATCGTCCGTCTCTGTTTCACACACACACACACACACACACACACACACACACACACACACACACACACACACACACACACACACACACACACACACACACACACACATATTTTTTTTTTCTCCAAGACACAGCAAAGGTAAATACTGAAAAAAGTGTGTGGCTTCGATTAACACCCTAACGGGCTGAAAATCTGAACAATAGTCAACACCAATGAATATTAAGAATTGAATATAAATGTGCGTGTCAACATATATCTATGGATATCTGTTTATATTTACGCGTATATACATGCAATAAACAATATGAATACTAGGATTGACAAGACATGAGTGAAAACTTTATCAATGTAAAAAACACAAAACAGAAAGATTATGTGACAAGCTACTATTCTGTGAAAAAAAATCTATATATATTGTGATAAATTTCGTTCACTACCGTCATCATCACTGTCAGTACGATTTTTATGACTTCCATCTAGTAGTTTTTTTTATTTATTTATTTTCATCTTTTATTATTATTAAAAAAAATATCATTATTTTTTTGCTACAGGTCATTGATATATTGTTGATTTCTTTTTATGTTAAAACTATAGAAAAATGTTAATGATTTTTAGGTGGGTTGTCCATGGCCAAGGGACCGGTTGATTTGAGAGTATGGTGGTGAACCAGATAAATATATGATCCAATAAGATGTTCAATGCCAGTGCGATCCGTCGTAGAAAATGGGTGTGCTAGAAAAAAAAAGTTAAGACGTATGTGTTACGAAAACTGAATTTTAGGAGATCTAGGAAGGTTTATGATGTGACTATTTTGTGATTGTTTTTTTGTCCGTGTCATTCCTATGTCTTTAGTAGATCTTGGCATACCCAGTACAATAAATAAGAATCACATTTACCCTTAGTATTATTGTTGTAGTTGTTATTATCATTCTATATTATGCTAATTCACTTTCTTTGTCCCCGGCTTTATCATCGCGGTTGTTATCACCGCTAATTTATTATTCTTAAACGCAGTCTTGTCCTAATCATGGTTATAATCAGTATCATAATGTGTTCTGTATTGAAATAACTGTTGTCAGAATGCAGTATATAGCCAATCACATTATTCCATTCTGAGTTAATTACTCATTAGCGTCATTAATTTTCTCATCATTCCCAGAATTCATCTTATCATTATCATAAACAAAATAATATGTGGCCAATAGTAATAAACACTATTATCATCCCCACGTTATTAACAATTGATCTTATCATCATAATAAAGAAAGAAAGAGAGAGACAGACGGACAAACAGAAAGAAACAGAACAGAAACAAACAGACACAAAGAAAAAAATCCATGCCAACAACAATAATAAACCCTGTCATTATTCCCACGATATAAACTATTATTGTCATTATTATAATCATATAATAATTATCATAATTATCTTAATTATCATCATTATTGTTACCAACTTTATCATTAGTATCACCATTTTTAATCATAACAGGATATAAGAAAAAATACGTCATTTTAGTTATTGTTATTATTGTCACCAATTTTATCATCATCATCACCATTTATAATCATAACAGGATACAAGAAAAAAAAGAAGAAAATTGAATTATTAATATTGTCACCAAATTTATCATTATCACCATTTTTGACCATAACAGGATACTAGAATTTTTTTATTTTAATTATTATTATTGTCCCCAAATTTATCATCATTATCACCATTTTTAAACATAACAGGATATAAGAAAAAGAAAAAGAAAAAAGAAAAATGAAGCCTTCCTTAAAATCGACCTCGGATTCCAGGTGGCGGTGCTTGCGGTCGTGGTGGCGGGAGCTGCGTCGGCGCCACAGTATATCTACAACTACGCCTTCCATATACCGGGCATTTCTGATCTAAAGTGAGGGCAGTAAGGATGACTGAAGGAGGAGGTGGATGATAAGAGAAATAGATACGGATGTCTGTATGGGGATGGGATTAGATAAGATAAATGAATAAGAAAGGTTATATATAAATTGGCTGAAAGGGGAGGTGGGTATTAAAAAGTATAAGAGAAATAGAGATTTTTTTAAATCTAAATTTTGATGTAGTATGTTATATAGGCTGTGCTAAGGAATATATTTAATATTTAAGGGTATATATTATGATGTGTGTGTGTGTGTGTTTGTAAAAGTTGTTTTTTTGTTTAGCTTTATATACATATGTTAGGAAACTAATTATTGTTTAAGATTTAATTTTGATAAAAGTAAGATTTGAAATATAATTTTGTGGTAAGCTTAAGCATTTGCATTAAAAAATTGGTATCTGATGGGATTTGAACGATTTTTAAAGTAGTTTTACAGAATGATATAATTAGAAAAAGATGAGTATTTATTCCTGAAGTACAATTAATACATTATTTTGCTACGATTCAGTGTAAATATATTTTTGTGTATAGTTTATAACATGAAAACCAACTATTTCGTTCGGCATCATACTTAACATAATAATTCACTCCTACCATTCTTTCTCATAACCTTGCCTTTAATGTTATAGAAATCCCAACCTATAGTAACGCTCCGTAATAACCTTTGTTCCTTTAAATCCTCAGGCCTGTTAATAGTGGATTCCAAGCACCTACTGCCTATGTCAGTCCTTTTGGTAAGAAGGATTTATAATCAGTTGTTTGGAAGTATTTCTAGTATTCAGAAAGAGTTTGTAGCTGTTCTAGCCTTTTTTTTTTTTTGTAAATGTACATGGGTATGCATTCATACGAGCACACATGCCCAAATGTGTATATATATATATACATACATACATATATATATATATATATATATATATATATATATATATATATATATATATATATATATACATATATATACATATATATATACATATATATATATATATATATATATATATATATATATATATATATATATATACATATATATACATATATATATATATATATATATATATATATATATATATATATATATACATATATATATATATATATATATATATATATACATATATATATATATATATATATATATATATATATATATATATATATATATGTATATATATATATATATATGTATATATATAAATATATAAGTACAAATGTATATGTATATGGATGTGTATATATATGTATATATATATATATATATATATATATATATATATATATATATATATATATATATATACATATATATATATATATATATATATATATATATATATATATATATATATATATATATATATGTATATATATAAATATATAAGTACAAATGTATATGTATATGGATGTGTATATATATGTATATATATATATATATATATATATATATATATATATATATATATATATATACATATATATATATATATATATATATATATATATATATATATATATATATATATATATATATATATATGTATGTATTTGCATATATGTATAAATCAATATTTGTGTGTATATTATATATATTGATTGATAGATGAATATGTGCATACATAA